TTTTTCTTTGTTATTGTAAATCCCCAAACAATGTTTTATCTTTTTCTTTAGTGCTGGGCAAAAGTTCAGCTGTTCCACTCCACATTGACAGAGGAGATGAAGGGATTTAAAACAGTTCTCTGGGTTCAAAACTCAGGTAGCTCGCCATCCAGTCTGGTCTTCTCAGCAAACAGACATGGAAAAGGAACCTGGCCTGTGTAAAACAGACCCAKAATAAGTGACTGAATTTTATCAGTGCCACAACTAAATATAATCAACACATGTACATGTTTTCAGTAGTATATCAAAAATACAAGTATAATTAGAATCAAATACGATCAGAGTACTCTTAAATATTTTCAGTATTAAGATCACCTTAATACCCAACATAGCAGTATTTCACAAATTCACACAGAAAGTTATTGTAGCATTGAATTAACACAAAGCTCAGGAGGCTAGATCTGACAGACRAGCTCCAAAACAAAACAATTAACTCACCAGTTCCACTTTTTTTATGATAGACTTATCACTGGAAGGCTTAGGCACAAGACATTGAGAATACCTAAAAGTTGAGAGGCATATCAGTCAGAAACAATAATTTAAACATTAAAATAAAGGGATTGAAATACCTTAGAGCCTACCTGCAGCAGCTACAATAGCATCTGCTCCCACACCTAACCTGGTTGTCAACCACAGCTGTGTTTAATGAGGAACTGACAAACATTTCTGCCACAAGTCTCGCGATAATAGGATGAAATCTCATGAGAACTTAACTCATGCWCAGGATGGCAAGTGGCAGAAGGTTAAAGGGAAAAAAACTATTTTTAAATTAATTATCTAAAAAAATTAAAGAAATACTCCAATAAAAATATAAGTTGTTAACTGAAATTTAAATTTTCAGAATCAGTTGAAGAGAGAGGGAAGGGGAAAAAAAAAACAACTAGAAAACTTAGAAAAATTACCCTGGTTACAAACACGATGTTTGTGTGTACATGTAAACTGTTTGCTGGCTGTGTAACACGATGTTTGTGTGTACATGTAAACTGTTTGCTGGCTGTGTAACACGATGGTGTTTGTTTTGTTGCAGCTGCCCTCAGAGCTGCAGGACATGCTGAACAAACACATGAAGAGCAGCCTTCCGGAGCGAGGCCCCACCCCGTCTGCTCAGGACCCAGACACCCTCAGTTTGACCCCAGCTGACGTGGTGCCAACCTCTGTCATAGCCCGGGTCCTGGAGAAACCCGAGCCTCTGGTTCTGAACTCGGCCCAGTCCAGCAGCTGCGGCCGGCCCGTAGCCGAGGATGTCTTTGTGCACGTGGACATGACTGGTCCTGCAGGCACCGAGGCCCGGGAGAATGGGGGCTCCCAGGACGCCGGACAGCAGAACGGCTCCTGTCGCAGTCAGACCAGCTTGGATGAAGAGGTGGGCGGAGCCTCGCCCTTCGAGAAGCTGAACCCGTATCCGCCGCCGCCTCCTCCCCACGCGCTCTACCCTGGCCGCAAGGTCATCGAGTTCTCCTCCGACGACAAGGTGAAGATCCCCAAAAACTCCCCGCTGCCCAACTGCACCTACGCAACCCGGCAGGCCATCTCTTTAAGCCTCGTGCAGAATGATGACGAGCGGCTGCCTCCTGGAAGCCCTGCCCCCTCTTCATCGTCCTGCGGTGGGGGCGGAGCCAACCAGCGCACACCACCATCACAGCGAGACGCCACCAGTGAGCCGCTGTCTAGCCAGTCCAGCCCTTTCAGCAGCCCGCCACAGGTAACAAGCAGCTGTGAAGTACTGTAGAATGGTAACCTGTGCCTCCTGAGCCTGCAGCTTCAGGCTGACATATCTTTCCCTGGAACAGGAGGTTTCTATAACCTGCAGCTTTGTCAGTGTGAATCTCAGTCTGCCTAAGCATCTCCTGTGGTAGACACCTATGTTCTGTTGGGGACCAGAAAGGATCATCTTCTCTGAAGTTAAGGGTCCAAATTGGCTAAATCCAAACAAATTGCTTGCTGATTTATACATGAGGGAGTGTTCAGAACCTGTTCTGCTCTATAAAATCATATTAATTTAGTCATGATATTAGAGCTGTTCAATAACTGTTGAACAACATTCTCTATATGGGTCACCTCAGCAGATCATTTGCCTCCATCTTTTATCCCAGTATTTATCTCTGCTCCCCAACCTGTCCTCTCATTCTCACACACAGATCCTCATTCTACTGAATTTGATAGCTGTATTCTTCCGAGCACACCTCTACCTGTGCAGGCTCTCTTCCATTGTATTCTCATAATTATACAGTGGTGTGACAGTGTCTGGCCCTTCCTCATTCTTATTCTTTTATAGATGTTTCATATCAAACAAATTAAAACATTACACAAAGATAACACAAGTAAACTCAAGATGCAGTTCATAAATGAAGGTCTTTATTATTAAGGGGAGATAAATCCAAACATACAGAGCCCGTGTGCCCCCTAAACCCAGTAAGTGGTTGGACCACCCTTAGCAGCAACAACTGCCATCAGTTATCTGTGAGAACTGACAGTGAGTCTTTTACAGCTGTGGAGGAATCCTGGCCAATCATCTTTGCAGAATTGTAGTGATCCATTCACAATGGAGGGTTTCTGAGCAGGAACCACCTTTTGCCACAACATGTCAGTCAGATTTAGGTCAGGACTTGGATCAGGTCACTCCAAAGTCATAAATGAGTTTCTTCAAGGCATTCAGAGGTGGACCTGCTGCAGAAGCCAAGTGTGCTTCATGAGAGATGATGGACAGATGGTGGAACGTTGTCCTTCAGCAGAACTCTTGGTTCTGTTTCATCCCTACTGACCGCCAGAAGCAGTGCTTAAAGCACTGAATGATCATTCTTGCGCATGCGCAGATCGAGTATCTTATGTCAACATAGACACATGTGACTCCGGTGATACCGGCGAGACTATATAGTCACACAACAACCTTAGCTCAGTCCCTTTTCATCTTCTCGCATGCAGGCGGTGTTCAAAGACGTGTTGGCTGTCATTATTTTGCTACATTGCAGCCGTATTGTGCTTGCCTTTGTTGTCATTTAGCGGCGTTTAGTCCATCCTCTTTTTATTTAAGCAGACTTTTGCCTTACTTGTTGAGCTCATGGGAATCCTTAGTGGCGTTTTTCTGCTCGACCGGATTCTCTGTTCTAGTTGCTCATCAACATCGGTGTCGAGTGGCGCTTTCCACTCGAACTGACACTTTGAGTTCCGACAGCGGTAAGATGCTGGACGCGCCATGCTTTGGAGCCTGTCTGGCCCCTCTCCAATTGGAGGACGGGCACGATCTGTGCCCCTCTTGTTTGGGGCCAGATCATCTGAGGGAGGCCTTAACTGAAGCGGCCTGCCCCAATTGTTTTATAATGCCCATGTCTTTACGAACTGCCCACTTGGCTATTTTGGAGGGCACAAGCAAGCCCGCAAAGCGCACAGCCCCAGAGGGAGTGGGGCCCCCAAGGAAGAAAACCAGGAAGAGCTCCAAGGGCTCAGAAGGACTCTCTGGGCAGGTGGCCCATCTCATCTCTGAGCTGGAGCATATGAAAACACTGCTTGAAGCCCTCAGGGGAGACTGTGGCAGTGCTCCAGTTACAGACCCTGAACCAGAACAGAATGTGGGTTCAAGGACCACCGCTTTTGAAGAAGATGCTATATCCTTAGCAGCGTCTGCAACCCATTTTCATGAACAGTTGGATTCTAGCTCATGTTTATCAAATCCCAGCTCCCACACCACCTCTGGCTCCCCTTCGGAGGAGGATGGTTTCATAGTGGGTGCTTTGAAGACGGCTCTTGCCCGGCTGCAGCTAGATGCCCCCCAGAGCCAGCCTGCTGCTTCCAGTGACTTCTTCCGATGCCCTACTGCTAGGTCATCTTTCATGGTTCCCCCCATCTGCAGAATATGTAAAAGAGGTACACGCCTGCTGGGCTGATACTGAAGCCCTTTCGCGGCCGACCTCGGATGGCAGGACCTTGGCGGCCATGCAGGATGCACTTAGATTCGGCTTGGGCCATATGCCTTCAGTCAAGCTGGCTATAGCGTCCCTCATTGTGGCTCCAGATGAGGTTCTGAGGACTAATGCCAGGTGTCCTCGTCGTCAATGTCGTGTCACAGATGACCTGCTCTGTAGAGCCTATGACTCGGGGTCATGGTTGAGCCGGCTTGGTAATTCGTTGTCTCGCTTATTGCTGGGTCTCTCAGCCTCCGTAGAAGGACTGGCAATTGACGCACCCACTCAGGAGTTGGTAGATGCTTTGCTTCATGCGTTTGCTCGGATGTCAAAAGAGATTGGTCATGTGTTGTCCACTCTTGTCCAGGCACACCGCAGTCACCCTTAACTGAGACCTGTAGAAGGACCCTGATGTGTCTTCCTGTGGTCCCTGGGGAGCTGTTTGGCTCAGCTGCCCTTGCAGCGTTAGAGCGCTCTGCTCAGGCCACACGTACCAGGCAGCAATTGGCTGGCCTCCACAGGAGAAATTTACAACACCCTGCTGGGGTGAGTGCTGCATTCTCGCATGCTCATGCTCCCCCACCTACATCTTCATTAGGGCAGCCACGGCCTCCGGTTGGGCCTACTCATGGCCCATGGGGCCTGCCAAGGGCCCAGACCCCTGTTCCCCCTAAACGTGGGCAATCTACTCGGCAGCCCTCCCACCCTCATAAAGGTCGGGGGCTCGTAAATGACACCAGGGATCAGGCGTTGGGACACTTTACCCTGGTTCAACTCAACCATTGGGCTGCTCTCATCCCCGATGCGTGGGTTGTGTCAGCTATATGCCAGGGTTATTCCATACAGTTCCATCACAGTCAGGTCAGAATGACAGTCATTTACAATCAGGTGAAAGCTCTGGCACTGAGCACAGAAATAGACTCCTTGCTGGCCAAGGGTGTCATAGTGCCGGTCAACCCCCTGCTGGATCCGGGG